TCACTTCCACTGTATAGTCATAAGGGATTTGATTTAGGTCATACCTGAATGGTCTAGTGGTTTTCCCTACTTTCTTCAGTTTAAGTTTGAATTTGGCAACAAGGAGTTCATGATCTGAGCCACAGTCAGCTCCTGGTCTTGTTTTTGCTGACTGTATAGAGCGTCTCCATCTTTGGCTGCAAAGAATATAAGCAATCTGATTTCAGTGTTGACCATCTAATGATATCCATGTGTAGAGTCTTCTCTTGTGTTGTTGGAAGAGGGTGTTTGCTATGACCAGCATGTTCTCTTGGCAGAACTCTATTAGCCTTTGCCCTGCTTCATTCCATACTCCAAGGCCAAATTTACCTGTTACTCCAGGTGTTTCTTGACTTCCTACTTTTGCATCCCAGTCCCCTATAATGAAAAGGACATGTCTTTTGGGTGTTAGTTTTAAAAGGTCTTGTAGGTCTTCATAGAACCATTTAACTTCACCTTCTTCAGAGTTACTGGTTGGGGCATAGGCTTCGATAATGGTTTGCCTTGGAAATGAACAGAGATCCTTCTGTTGTTTATGAGATTGCATCCAAGTACTGCATTTCAGACTCTTTTGTTGACTGTGATGTCTACTCCATTTCTTCTAAGGGATTTCTGCCCACAGTAGTAGATATAATGGTCATCTGAGTTAAATTCACCCATTTCAGTCCATTTTAGTTTGCTGATTCCTAGAATGTTGACATTCACTCTTGCAGCTGGCAAAACCATAACTTTGACTAGATGGACATTTGTTGGTAAAGTAATGTTTCTGCTTTTTAATAGCTGTCTAGGTTGGTCATGGATTTTCTTCCAAGGAACAGGCATCTTTTAATTTCATGGCTGCAATCACCATCTGCAGTAATTTTGGAGCCCCCCCCCCCAAAATAAAATTTTGCACTGTCTCCATTGTTTCTCCATCTATTTGCCATGAAGTGATGAAACCAGAATCCATGATCTTAGTTTTCTGAATTTTGAGTTTTAAGCCAACATTTTCACTCTCCTCTTTCACTTTCATCAAGATGCTCTTTAGTTCCTCTTTGCTTTCTGCCATAATGGTGGTATCATCTGTGTATCTGAGGTTATTGATATTTCTACTGGTAATCTTGATTCCAGCTTCTGCTTCATCCAGCCCAGGATTTTGCATGATGTACTCTGCATAGAAGTTAAATAAGCAGAGTGACAATATATAGCCTTGACATATTCCTTTCTCAATTTGAAACCAGTCTGTTGTTCCATGTCCAGTTCTAACAGTTGCTTCTTGACCTGCATAGAGATTTCTCCAGAGGCAGGTTAGTTGGTCTGGTATTCCCATCTCTTGAATAATTTTCCAGTTTGTTGTGATCCAGACAGTCAAAGGCTTTGGCATAGTCAATAAAGCAAAAGCAGATATTTTTCTGGAACTCTCTTGCTTTTTTGATGATTCAGTAGAATTAGGCAATTTGATTTCCCATTCTTCTGCCTTTTCTAAATCCAGCTTGTACATCTGGAAGCTCACGGTTCACCTACTGTTGAAGCCTGGCTTGGAGAATGTTGAGCATTACTTTGCTAGCATGTGAAATGAGTGCAATTGTGCAGTAGTTTGAACATTCTTTGGCATTAAGTCTTAATTTAGGGAAATTAATCAGGTAAGTGAAAAGTTTTGATTAGTCATAGATGTTTTAACACTGACTCTTAGAAGAAAATTCTGGAGAATAAAATCAAATGTACTGAATACATTCTAAATAAGAAGAATTTCTGATATAATCATTATTTCCCAATTTTTTAAGAAAAAGATAGTAATTTAGCATTTAGAGGCTACATAGCATGTGCCAGACACTGTGCTAAATATCTCACATGCATTACTCCCCTTAATCCTCAACACCATCCCACGACCTGTGAACATTCTTTCATCTTCATTTTACAGATAAGGAAATGGAAGCTTAGAGAAGCTAAGTAAATTGCCCAGAGTCAAAGAACTGGTGAGCAGAGCTGGTTAGGGATTAGTTCACAGGTCATCTGTATCCAGGCCCTGCTCTCTAAACCAGCCCCTAACTGCTTGTGTATGTGTAGCACATGCACAGGTTCCAAATAGAAGAAGCTTATCCTTCACACTTGTCCCTTCTTTCTCATCATCTCCTTTGCTTTCCATTCCCTCTCAAATTCCACCTGCACCCGCACCACCATCCGTCTTTAGTAGTATCCTTTAGCTACATAAACTCTATCATATCAACCCTCTTCTCAGACCAGCCCTTAATAGAATTGATCCATATGCTGAAAATTACTTCCTGCTTCACAATGAAATTGTCGTTTTCTGTTCTTAGCCAGGTAATGAATGCAGAGATATCTGACTATGTAAGTCACAGTGAGGAATGCTTCATAATAGAAAGATAATCTTTACATTTCTGGAGAAATTTGTTTTGTAAAAAAGCATTGGTTAACTGAACTACATCTTTACTTAGAAGAGTGTTAGACTATGAAAATGGGAAAATGGAGGATTTGGCCTGGATTAGGGAGATATTCAGAGGTAAAATGCCCTACAGAGCCTTTCACAGAACCTCCAGATACCTGTTTAAAAGGAAGGCCACAGCCGTATTCCAAGAATTCACACATTTGAAAGTGAAAGAGTGAATGCACCCAAATAACACTGATGTTCGGAGGATAACAACTCTCATCATTTTATTAAAGAAGCCACAGAGTGATGGCAGATTGCATGCCCTTTCTCTGGAGTAGCCCAGCCCCCTTCCCATTTTATTAAATCCAAGAGAGAAGCATTGTCCTTTAGTTGACAGTAAACTGCCATACAACATTGTCTCTGTCTCCTTCGAAAGCCAGTGCTAAGGTGTTTTCTATAGTATGATATTTACAGACTAAAGAAGGATGACATTTCAAGGATAAATACAACCTGCTCCACGGTGGGATCAGCTGCCTGGAAATTCACTTTCGTAAGAAATGACTGTTTCTCCAGTTGCCCCATCACCTGTTGTCCAGCATTAAAGATTTTTCCCTTTTGGAGAAATCTATAGATTCATTTTAAAGTGCCCTGTGCCACACATGCAGAGCAAGACTGGCAGGGAGCCCGAGAAGAAGGGGAGAGGTTCTTCTAGTCACAATATCCTGGAGGGGTTCAGTGAGGAGATGGAACCCTGGATCTTCTTCTTCATACTGACTGGCTGTCTTCCAGAAACATCATTGAGAATCTCCTTTGTGAAACCAAGGTGTCTCTGATCTCAAGAACCTGACTCCTGGAAGTAAACACAAAGAAAAATAGCCAGCAATACAGGATTCAGGTAGAATAGAATATTGAATATAGATGATAAAAATATCAATAATAATGCTACCTTGATTGTTCTATTAATATCTGGTAAATAATGTATATTTGCATGTGAGTGTGTGCTGTGTGTATGTGGAATATGCATATGGTTTATACATATATGTGACTGTTGTATAAATATATAACATTTTCATACTTAATCTCCTTAACACAATATTGTTCCTTATCAACACCTGAGGACATGAAGATTGGGGGGTGGGGAGCTTTCCCAAGGGTGATAACTGGGCCAGACTCCGGGGTACATGTTTTTAATTCCTGTAATACCACATTCTAATAGTATAGTAAATGCATCAAGAGTTTAAAGAAAAAAATAATCACTAGAGGCTGCAATGATGTATGAAAATCAAGAGGTTTTATTGGACAAGTTCTTGACAAATGGATAGGTCAGGATGGAAGGGCAACTGGAGGCCTGGCATAGGATGGATTGAATAGAATGAACTAATATGCCCAGACAATGGTGGGGGTGGGGCAGTGAGAAGATTTTGATTAGAAGGTGATCTTGGGGTTGAGATTTCATCCTGGGGGCACTGTAGACTTACAGAATATTCTCAAATAAGACACATGGCACAATATCCTTCCCTAATAGGAAATTGTCTCCTGAAGGCTTCTTTTAAATGTGGTCATCCATTGTGGTTGTGTTAAAAATAAACACGTGGTGAAAGAGTCTTTATATTTTAGAGACATATTGAAATGTTTAAGGATGAAATGGTAGGATGTTTAAAGTGTTTACTTTAAAAATGCACTGCGTGCACTGGAGGAAAATGTGTAGGCATAAAAACAAACTTGGTCTCCTGTTGGAAATTACCAAAATTGATCCATGGGTTCATGAAAGTTTGTAATACTCTCTACTTTTGCATGTCTTAAAATTTTTCCATAAAAATAAATTAAATAAAAATCATTAGAAACTTAAGTACTACTTTAAATGGTGAGTATTAAGTAAAATAGAAAATAATAAAGCTACCTGTGAATTTTTGCTACTGTGAAATAAAATATCAATGAGTTTTCCTGGGAAAAAAAGTGAGCATGACTTCAGGATCAGCTCTTAAGTCATTTCCCATTATGTTATTAACTTAGAAAAGTACAAGTGATAATACCAATACCTAACACATAGAATCCTTTGCTCCAAAGTATTTCACATGTATCATTTTATATGATCTTCACATGATTCCTAAGAGTAGCTGGCTCCCAGCATGAAGTTTGTCCTACTTAGCATCTAGTGAGAGGATTCTGGTGGAAACTTGAATATCTTACTTTGACCTTTGAACTTCTCATGGCAATTTAGCAGAGATAGTAATTCTCATGAAAAGTTAGCAGAGATAGTAAACAACAAAATGATGGTGACTGTCATTCCTGTCGAAGAAGACAAAAGACCCAAACATATTAGCAAAAGTCTGAAAATAATAATCACATCCTCAAAAAAAAAAAGTCACATCCTCTACTTTATATATAGAAGGCTCTCAATGTATATTTCTTATGAATGAATAACCCGTTTTCATACTGACATATGGTGCATGGGGTTGCAAAGAGTCTGACACAACTTAGTAACTGAACAACAACAACAAACATGGTTAAAATAGCCACCTACAGCAGTCTAAAATTCAGTCCCATCAATATATTTTCACAAACATTTATTAAAACACTAACTGCTTGTCGCTACATCACTTCAGTTGTGTCTGACTCTTTGCAAGCCCATGGCCTGTGTAGCCCACCAGGCTCCTCTGTCTATTGAATTCTCTAGGAGAGAATATTGGAGTAGATTGCCATTTCCTCCTCCAAGAGATCTTCACAACCTAGGGATCAAACCTGTGTCTCTTTAATTGCAGATGGATTCATCACAGCTTGAGTCACCAGGGAAGTTCTACTCTAATTGCTTGTAAGGGGTAATTCAAACTTTCTGATAATTTCAAAAAGTTTACTTTTTTTGTTTTTATCTTGCCTTGCCCATTTCGGTCTTATATGAGAAAGGACCTGTGGAGCAGATCAGGTAATAAGCCGATCCACCTTAGTAACTCTAGAAAGAGTCTGAGAATTATTGAATTGAAAACTTATCTTTTTCTTATACATATTGTACCGTTTTATTCTTATTTCCCTTTTCTCTTTCCAGACTCATTTTCCTATGGGTACTTAGAGTTAATAAGAGGTAGGATAATATACTAAAAAGAATAAGAATTTTAATTCATTCAGCAATATTGATGCCAACAACTTTGTCAATGGGAAAGTGTCTTTAGGTTTTGTTTTCCTAATTTCATTATTCATCAAAAACTTTGCCCACTTCTTATGAGATATTAGTTGCCACAACACCTCTTAAATGATGAGTTAACATATCAAATGTTTGTTATGTATGAAGCTGGTATAGATCTAAAAAGTTATCATCAAGTAGCGAAAAAGCAAAACTCAGATGGTAGAACTGAAACACCACATTTGAGAGGCTAGGCCAAGGTAACCTACCAGGTGCCCTTCTATTCATCTCCCCATATGTTATAACCTGTTATGCTCAGTTATAGTACTTATAGGCTAGAATAAGAAATGAGAAGTGATAATTATTAATAAAATGTAGCTCAGTTACTAAGCTGGGCTTTCCTGATAGTTCAGCTGGTAAAGAATCTGCCTGCAATGTGGGAGACCTGGGTTCGATCCCTGGGTTGGGAAGATCCCCTGGAGGAGGGAAAGGCTACCCACTCTGGTATTCTGGCCTGGAGAATTCCATGGAGAGTCCATAGGGTCACAAAGAGTCAGACACAGCTGAGTGACTTTGGCTTTCACTTTTCACTTTCACTTTCAGTCATTAAGCTATCTTATTGGCAAACTTGCTAGCCTCTTACCATGCATTACCAATCATTATTTTGTTATTTTAGAGGTTTGGCCATTAGGCCATTAAATGCTTTGAACTCCATTTTCCTTCTCTATAAAGACAGTATGACACTGATGGCTAGTGGGTTGTTTTATTTATGTCAGCGTGAATAAGGTAGTAAAAGTAATAACAATCATATAATGGTCATATTTTATATGGTAGTTACTTACCATGATGTAATTAATGCATTCCATCTTCATTACTTGATATGGGCCTCCTGCCTTGTTTCATGTAGACAGCTGTTTATGTGGGCACCCAGATGCTGACAGCATTTTGTCTGCCAGAGCCGAAGAGAGAGGTGAAGAAGGAAGCCTTTCAGCTAATATATTCTGAATGCTCTCTTTTCCTCCCACAGTTGGTTTCTACGACTCTGTGCTTTGGAATAGGGCTGGCCATAGACTCCACAACAAAAGATTCTGCAAAATATGATTGACAGTCCATGACAAATGTGGATATGCCAGGTACATTCCCACATTACTTGTGGTATGTGTGCCGTTGAGTTCCCTATTTTACAAGAAATATCTTCAGGGGCTCACCCAAAGACACAGAAACAGGAGGAAGCAGAACAAATACTGGGTCAGACCCACTGCACATGTGGGCCCTTCTCATATTCCACTATTGCCCTTGGTCATGAAAGTGCCTTGGTGGGAGGCCAGGTGAAAGAAACTGGTTTCATAACTAAATCATGGTTCATCAGTACACTCAGAACTTTGAATTAGCATTTTATTGAGCAAAATTCAAAGAAAGGTGATAAAAAAATATATGGAAATATTGAGAAGTTTGTTTAAAATAGCAGGTGGCTGTCTGGGAAACTGCATCCAAGCACTTATGTGGATGCTCAGAGCAGACTTGGATGCTGTCTGCATGAAGCTGCATATCTGATGGTGGACAGTTCGTTGTCCCTCCTGGTGAGGGGTGTATCTCTCCTCTGAAAATGGTGAGCTGCTGCATCGGTGGATCCTACCGCACCCTGATCCCACCCTGCTTTTTGCCTTCCATGTACTGTACGCATAATCACATGAGTAAGATGACCTACTAATATAATGTCCTGCTCAGAGTGTAGCACAAGAAAAAAATTGGGCTGTTTGTTTTGGAACTTCCTTTCTGTTTCCATTTTTATTAAGCTCTGGCTTTAAGTATCAAAAGTGATGTAGTTTCCTTGGTAGCAGATTTGTATAGCAGTCGCTAACGAGGATACCACGGTTAGTTTTCTTTCTGGGGAGATGTGTGGGAATAAGCAAGTCTTCCACTACTCCCCAAGTGAAAGCTTTACCCAAATCTGTCCTCTTAGCTCTCTCCTTTAGAGATTTATAGCATAATAACTGTTCTACCCGTGAGCCTTCACTGTTGAGCCTCTTGGGAGAGGATCTCAGTTATGGAGAAAAACTGTTGAGACTAATCAAGTCAGGGGCTCAGAGAGACCCACTGAGCTATGGACGAGATCAGTGGAACATTTCAAATCAAAGGGGACTTGCTAAACACCAGTATTCTTTGGACCTTCACCCACACTCAGGCTTCTACCCTCTGTATGTATGTGTGTGGATGGCAAGAATAAGGGTAATGGCCAGGTGGATAATGACGGGAGGAGAGACAAAGCCCATTATTTGGAATGTCTGTTCCTTTAAGTGAATGCCATGTTGTTGCAGAGAGGGTGGTAATTAGAGGTACAATAGGCAAGGTTCTTAGTTCTAACAAATAAAAGCTAGCTTTTATAGTTTAAGACATATAGTAAAGAATATTGGCCAGCTCTGAATCTTCAGGCTAGGAAGTCCAGGAGAGTGTCCAGAGCCACACCATAGAACTAGCCACATGGGGACAACTGGGTACCTCTGCCAGTGCATACACCATGGGAGAGCTACAACTTCAGCCACCACTGCCCCTGGAAACTGGATATATCCTACCACCATTTCCTAGAAGGATTCCACATGAGGTCTACTTCTTTTAAATTACTATCTTCCAATTCACAGTCCATGCCTTGTTCCTGATTGAAAGATATGAGTGACCCACCGCTGCAAAAAGACTGGGGAATTGGGTACCTGGCAAAATTGGGTACCTGAAAAGGTAGGAAGTAAAGTACCTCAACATAAAAAGAACGCTCAAATTTAACAAGTATCTGTTTAACAGAAATCTATGCAGGAGAAATTGCAAGCAGAAATGGGGCTAGGTGACAAGTAAATCCTTGTTGTTGCTTAGTCACTAAGTTGTGCCCGACTCTGCAACCCCATGGACTGCAGCATGCCAGGCTTCCCTGCCCTACACTATCTCCAAGAGCTGGCTCAAATTCATGTCTGTTGAGTCGATGATGCCATCCAACCATTTGTTGCCCCCTTCTCCATCTGCTTTCAATTTTTCCCAGAACCAAGGTCTTTTCTAATAAATCAGCTCTCCTCTTCAGGTGGCCAAAGTATTGGAGCTTCAACTTCAGCACCAGTCCTTCAAATGATATTCAGGGTTGATATCCTCTAGGATTAACTGATTTGATCCCCTTGCAGTCCAAGAGACTCTCAAGAGTCTTCTCCAAGAACACAGCTCACAGTTCAAAATAATGAATTCTTCAGTGCTCAGCCTTCTGTATGGTACAGCTCTCACATCCATAAATGACTACTGGAAAAAAGATAGCTTTGACTATATGAACATTCGTTGGCAACATAATGCCTCTGCTTTTTAATATGCTGTCTAGGTTGGTCATTGAGCTACCCTAAATAGCTCAGTTGGTAAAGAATCTGATTGCAATGCCGGAGACCCCAGTTCAATTCATGGGTCAGGAAGATCCACTGGGGAAGGGATAGGCTATCCACTCCAGAATTCTTGGGCTTCATTTGTGGCTCAAATGTTAAACAATCCACCTACAATGCGAGAGATCTGGGTTCAATCCCTGGTTTGGGAAGATCTCTTGGAAAGGGAAAGGCTACCCACTGCAGTATTCTGGCCTGGAGAATTCCATGAACTGTATAGTCCATGGGGTCACAAAGAGGTGGACATGACTGAGCTACTTTCACTTCACAGGTTGGCCATAGCTTTTTTCCCAAGGAGCAAGCCTCCTTTAATTTCATGGCTGCAATCAGCATTTTCAGTGATTTAGGAGACCAAGAAAATAAGTGCGTCACTGTTTCCATTGTCTCCTCATCATCTACTTGCCATGAAGTGATGGGACTAGATGCCATGATATTCACTTTTTGAAAGTTGAGTTTTAAGCCAGCTTTTCACTCTCCTCTTTCACTTGCATCACCAGGCTCTTTAGTTCTTCTTTGCTTTCAGCCATAAGGATGTTGTCATCTGCATATCTGAGGTGATTGATATTTCTCGTGGCAATCTTGATTCCAGATTGTGCTTCATCCAGCCCAAAATTTTTCATGATGTACTTTGCATATAAGTTAAATAAGCAGGGTGACAATATACACCCTTGACACTTTCCTTTCTCAATTTTGAACCAATCCATAGTTCTATGTCCAATTCTAACTGTTGCTTCTTGACCTGCATAAAGGCTTCTCAAGAGGGAGGTCAGGTGGTCTAGTATCCTCATTTCTTGAAGAATTTTCCAGTTTGTTGTGATCCACACAGTCAAAGGCTTAGCATAGTAAATGAAGCAGAAGTAGATGTTTCTTCTGGAATTCTCTTGCTTTTTCTATGATCCAACGGATGTTGGCAATTTGATCTCTCATTCCTCTTCCTTTTCCAAATCCAGCTTGTACATTTGGAAGTTCTCAGTTCAGACAGCATTGATGTCTAGCTTGGAGGATGTTGAGCATTACTTTGCTAGCATGTGAAATTAGTGGAATTGTGCAGTAGTTTGAACTTTCTTTGGCACTGCCTTTTTTTGGGGGGGTTTGGGATGAAAACCAACCTTTTGCAGTCCTGTGGCCACAGCTGCATTTTCCAAACTTGCTGGCATATTGAGTGCACCACCTTAACAGCATCATCTTTTAGGATTTGAAACAGCTCAGTTGGAATTCCATCACCTCCACTAGTTTTGTTTGTAGTTATGCTTCCTAAGACCCACTCAACTTCGCATTCCAAGATGTCTGGCTCTAGATGAGTGGTCACAACATTATGGTTATCTGGGTTGTTAAGATCTTTTTTGTTTAGCTCCTCTGTATATACTTGCAACCTCTTCTTAATACCTTTGCTTCTGTTAGGTCCATACTATTTCTGTCCTTTATTACACCCATCTTTGCATGAAACTTTCCCTTGGTATATCTAATTTTCTTGAAGAGATCACTAGTCTTAGCCATTCTATTGTGTTCATCTATTTCTTTGCATTGTTCACTTAGGAAGGCTTTCTTATCTCTCCTTGCTATTCTTTGGAACTATGCATTCAGATGGGTATATCTTTCCTTTTCTCCTTTGCCTTTTGCTTCTCTTTTTTTCTCCACTATTTGTAAGGCCTCCTCAGAAAAGCATTTTGCCTTGTTACATTTCTTTTTCTTGGGGATGATTTTGATCACCACCTCCTATACAATGTTATGAAAACTCCATCCATAGCTCTTCAGATATAATTCCTTGAATCTATTTTTCACTTGCACTGTATAATTGTAAAGGATTTATTTAGGTAATACTTGAATGACTTAGTGGTTTTCCCTGCTTTCTTCAATTTAAGTCTGAATTCTGCAACAAGGAGTTCATGATCAGAGCCACAATGAGGTCCTAGGGTTGTTTTTGCTGACTGTTTAGAGCTTTTCCATCTTCAGCTTTATATAGAACCAAACACCAAAAGTGCAACTAGCTTCGGAAAACCATTGACAGGAGAATGTTGGATCCCACCAAAAAAAGATATCCCACATTTAAGGCCAAAGGAGAAGGCACCTCAAGATGATAGGAAGGGCACAGTCACACTGAAAATCAAATTTCATACCTGCCAGAGATGCTGGGAGGATGCAAACAACCAGGACCAAGGGAAACCAGGTCCTTTGTGCCAACCAGGACCCAGGGAAAGCAGCAGTGACCTCCACAAGATACTGAGCCAAACCTACCTGTGAGTGTTTGAGTGTCTCCTGCAGAGGCACAGGTCAGCAGTGGCCTGCCTCATGGACAGAGGCTCTGGCTCCAGCAGTCCTGGGAGGCTCAGCATGTGGTATAAGTCTTCTTGGAGGAGGCTGCCATTAGCCCCACAATAGAGCCACCAAGCAGGTGACCCACAAACTGGAGAAAAATTATACCAAAGAAGTTCTGACACTGTTGCAAAAGTTCTAGGGCCCACAACAGTTTTCTCAACCTGGGGATCCAGCAAAGGGACTGTGAACCCTCAGGGAATTTAACTTTGAAGACCAGTAGGATTTCACTACTGAATTTCCACAGGACTGGGGAAGCAGAGACTCTTAGAGGGCACAAAAAAATTTTTTTTTTTTAATTTAAAAAAGCGTGCACACCAGGAACCAGGAGACAGGAGCTGCGACCCCAGAAACGACTGGGCTAGACT